ATATCAATTTGGACCAGTACTGCATAATCATCCTTACATTATTGTTATGTTATACAAACCTAATGAACAAGTATGGCATTTTGAAACATGATGTGCAACAATTTCTACTGTAGTTTGTGTGCATTGTTGTTAACTAAGATGATGTTATGATTAATTTTTTGTTAGTATGCACGTGGACGCTTTGGACACACCTGGAGAAGGAAGAAATGGGTCTTCAGAATGATGGGAGGTAAAGACAAAAGCGGAGACTTGAAACTAGTGGAGGAACAATCAAGATGCCACCTTGTCCCTCTGATTGGACGGCATGTTAAGTCAGGAAGTAGCATTATGAGTGATGAGTGGAGGGCATACAGAGAGTGCTGAGTAACATGGGGTACAACCACTACACCATAAACCACAGCAGGTGGTGAACCCCCAGACTGGCAGTCATACCCAACATAATGAAAGAGGTCGACCGTCAAAGGACATGTCCTTACACTGAGACGAAACCGTGCAGAGAGTTTGTTGGAGGAACACCTCAAGGGTCTTGAATGGTCACCTTGGCTTGGCTCTGCTCACCCTGATGGACTGCTTGTTCAAGGATATTCACAAAGCCTTTCCAGTCTGAGTACCATTATGTCCAAGTCTTTCATTTATGTCTGAGAAAAGCTTTTATGTTTAAATATGTGTATCAGTCATACTAAACAGTCATTAGTCCTAATTTTCTTCATGTGTGAATAAAATGTTTTGCTTGGCTCTGTTGCATCTTACTTAGCCTTTCAGTAGTTATAAATGTTAGTGACTCATCAATAGATGGTGATGTGTTTCACACTTTGCAATAAGGCTCCCTTTTGGCAGTTATAAATGTTAGTAACTCATTCATAGATGGTCATAAGAGACACCAAGAAACATCAAGATGGAAGGGGGGGAATCAACTCAGTGAACAACAGATACCAAGGATGCTGGCTGATGAAGAAGACGAAGTAAGCTAGGTAGCCAATATAAGGCTTAGCAGTATGGGGGGCTCACTATTTGGCAAGCAACCGGTCACAGTTGCCCTGTTTATCTCATGTCTTATAAAAGCTTATTAATTGGCAATATGAAGTCAGATTGAAAAAATTGCTCAACAAATGGCCATTTATACCCATTAGCGCCAGCGAGTAATATTTACCTTACAGAAAATGCAGTGATCTTCGTGCTATTGATCTCGCGCGAAAACATGACATGTTGCTATAGCAACGCCTGTTGTTTTTTCCAAAGTATGAATTTTTTCAGTGTAGAAAAAGACTTAGAACTATCAATTCAGACGACAACATGTTTATTTAGGTAATACATTTAGCGAGGGTCATTTTCTCATAGGCTTCTACCAAAACAATCTCTATCACTAACAGCTTCCTCCTTTGGTTATTTTCTTCTTTGTGGGTTTGGCATGCATGCACTCTCTTTCTCTCAGTCAACTCAAATCAGATCTGCTGTCATCACACACACACACACACACACTCACTGTCTGCGCTCTATTAGCCTGTCTCTTTGGGTCACTTCAATCAAACGGGGGCGAAACATTTTCCTCATCGTCAGCGCCGAAACATGATCACAGGGGAGCCAAAACACACACACACACGTCTAGCTCCCTCTTTGTCTGAGGCTAAGTTAACCTACATCAGTGATCCATCAACACAGCCACAGTGTACAGGAGGGTAATGAAGGCCATTCGTTTGAACCCTCCATTAGATTAACCGTGCAGCATGATGTGGCGAGTGAGCCGCAATTTGTTGTTGTTGATTTCAGGTTGATGAAAAGTCAATAGGGACATGGAGGCAGTGGAGGGTGGGGGGCGCCTTTCATTTCACCAATCCGCTCGTCTCAGGCGCCAAGGGTGCAGCCGGGGCTTAATTAGAATGCGTTTTAAATATTGATGGGGATCCTTGTCCCTACTGTAAGGCTGCGCAGGGAAACTGGAGCGGGAGAGGAAACTTGATGAGCAAACACACACTCTGAAAGCCCTGAACTGACTGGCTCATTCATTAAAAGAAGAAGGATGGCTGAATAGAAGGAATCTGTGAGGATCTGCAGTACTTCCTCCTTCTTTTTCCCCTTTCTGTGTTTGTTTTGTCTGTGTGTCTGTCTCCCTGGCTGGGCGTGGCTACCTACATTCCGATTCCCGCCAACTCACCTCCTCAGCTGCTGCTCATCTCACTGATTGCCACTACTCACCTGCACCTGCTTAAAACCCTGGTTCCCATCTTCAGACTTCGCCAGTTCTTCGTTTATTCTTCAGTGGTAAACTATCGTCCAGGCCTACTAGTGGTTTTTCCTAGTGACTTTTTGATGCTCCTAGTGAAGGGAGATCATTTCCTAATCCTGCTTGTTTTTCCTGTTCCAGATCCACATACTCCAGCTGCTCTGCCTGCCACGTCCAGCCTCCCCTCCTGAGCAGCCCAGCTCCACGTCTTCCCTCTATGTGTGCTTCGTCAACTCCTTGTCAGTGTCGTGGACAAAATAAAGCCTTTTTGACACTTCACCACAGTCTCAGTTGTAGTGCTTGCATAGCGGGTTCTCATCTCCAGTCACTTCTCGGGAAACCTAACAGAATCAATGAGTGGGGTGAAAACAACAGATATAGATTCAACCCTGGTTCAGACCAAAACAAGCCACGTTAAATCCATCCAAAATAACTTGATATTTTACTGATAAAATGAGGCATCAGTCCTAACCGAGAAATAAGACTGGTTTAGATTTATTTATTCACAATACTATGAAAAGATACACCAACACAAATGGTCAATCTCAATGCTCTCTGCTCTCCTGAAGATCTTTCAATAAAGAAACAAAATGTCAGTGAAACAGGAGGACATATTGTATTTGTTGAGGACTATTTGATCAATCATTTTTGAATTAAAATGCGAATTTTCACCAGCGTTATCCCTTGAAATTAAAAAATACTCCAATCTAAACAAAACCAATGTGTTCCGAAATGACGCATGTGAGCCTTTTCTTATCTGTTGTCTCTTTAACAGCATGATTTAATTTAGCAGTGCCATACAATAGCACTAGAAAGTATTCATACATCCACTTTCTCATTTCATGTTCGTTAAACCTACTGCTGACAGGAGGTGCATCATTGGCTGCTTCGTACAAACAACTATTACATCTTTCTTTGTTCTTTTCCAAGCTTTCAAAAAGTATTGAAAAATCTGATGGCAGCCGTTTATTCTTTTTTTTAATGCCTTGCAAAACCTCTCCTCAGGTGAGGAACTGTGATTCTGTGTTGCCATTAGCAACACCCTGCCGTGTTGCCATAGACTCTGTATATGGACCCACCCTGTGGACCAGGCAATTGCATTTTGATTTTATTGTTTTGTTTTATTTATATATTTGTGTCTGTCTTGTATTTCTAACCTTAGATCTAATTTAATCGTAATATTCGTACCTATTCATCTTGTGTCCAAGTAGCAGTCGGTGAATGAGGTAACATTTGTAACAATGAGTATCCTTTCCCAGCTACAGCCACACATCTGCCTCCAAAAACAATGCCCAAACATGTCAAACTCAAGGCTTCTAAATGGTTGTCTACGAATACATCGGTGAAGTCTACTTTCTTTGGAAAATCTTTGATCTGCATCTTCTCTTCAACAGCTCTGATGGCCTACAGTCATTATTTGGATAACCACAACAGGTTGTTGGAAATAGCTGATTAAGTCCGGCCGTGGCTCAGTCAGTAGGGGCTTGGACTGTGAGCGGACGTGCGTGACTTTGGTCTGAGGAGGAAATAAGTGAATTGTTTGTTTTGTGGATATCTTTTGTTTCGTCAAACTTATAGTTGTGTTTTTTGTTGTTGTTCTGAGTCATCCCCAAACAGCCTTGCTGGCTGGGGGTTTCCCCTGACCTGTGTTTTTTTTTCTCGATCGGACGGATAAACTGGCAAAGAAAACGGGAATGGAATTATCAACTGCGTCACGGATCACGGACATTGACAAATTACAGCAGAGTACGGAGAAAGACGGGACATCAGTGAATGAAAAAGGAATGGAAAATGACAACGGAAATGCGAATGGACAAAATGAAAAAACAGGAGTGGGAAAACAGAAGGAGGTGAGAGAGCTGTTTGAGTTGAATGTGGAGGAGGAAAAATATAAAAAGGATCTTACAGTTGTGGTGACGGTGGAGAGTGGAAAAGTAGTAACTGTTATGGATTTGCTAAAAGGAGTTAAAAAAGAATGCGGAATTGTGATGGGGTGTCGGGTGAAAGGAAATGGGCTATATGAAGTGACAATGGCTGAAGAAAAAGGAAAAAATAAACTGTTGGATGGAATACGAATAAATGGGGCTTTGGTGCGGGGCAGAGACTGCATGACAAAAGAGCTCACGGTGTCATTCTTAAATATACCTTCGTATATATTGGACAGTTCAATTAAAGGCAGATTGGCAATGTGGGGGGTTCTGCCTGTCTCGACAATAAAGAGAAGGATGTGGCCCGGCACTGATGTGGTTGATGGGACGAGGTTTTTGAGAGTGGAGTTCAACAAGGAAGTGCGGTCACTTCCTTACTCCACAAGGTTCGAGACTCTAGAGGGGCCAGAATACTTTAGGGTGATTCATGACAAGCAAGTACCGGTCTGCAGGATGTGCATAAGGCCAGGGCATTTATACAGAGAATGCCCTGAGTTTAAATGCCATAAATGTGCGAAACAGGGACACTATGCCCGGGACTGTGTGACTCGGGAGGAGGGGGCGAGCGGAGCCAGGGGGAGAGAAAGTGCACAGGCGGAAAATAAAGTGGAGAATGGAATGGAGGAAGAGGATGGTGGAAGTCAGGAAGAAAGTGAAGAAGAGGATATACATGATAAGGCTGGGAGCAGGATGAACGAGGAAGCTGTGGCTGCTGTCGCGGCGGTGTTTGTGGCGGCTGATGCAAAGAGGGCAGCTGATGAGGCTGCCATGGGAGGTGGAGGAGATGGAGCGAGGAAGAAGGGGAAAGCAGACGAAGGGAACATGTGTAGTAGCAAAGCAAATACTGCTGCTGTTCCGGCTGCTGTGGACGATGGACAGACTGCGAGGAGTGGTGAAGGTTTGGCTGAGACTGAAGCAGAGGCTGTGGTGGATGTTATTCTGGGGGCAGAAACTGATACCGAGGCTGAAGCGGACGTTGAAGGTGAACCTGATCCTGAGGATGGAGGAGGAGCTGTCGGTGGGAGGAGCGAAGGAGAAGGAGGTGGAGGACAGATGGCTGAGGGAATGGAGGTCAGCTCGGTTGTGTCGGACATGGAGGAGGAGGGAGGAGACGACGAGGAGAACGAGTCTGAGGACGAGGAGGTGGAGATAACAGGGCCCATAAAGGAGAAGATCGTTGGCGGGGCGAATGCTGGGACAAAGAGCAGAGGGATGAGGAGAGAATCCAGCAGGCTAAATGCAAAGAGGAAAGACGATAAGGAGAAAGTGGTGGAGAGAAGAAGGGTGTGAAAGCGAAAGGAGGAGCTGCAAAGGGTCCGGACAAAAAATAAATAGAATGGAAAAAATAATAACATTAATAACACTTGTAATGGTGACAATTTCCTCTTTTACTGGGAATGGGCTGAGGTCAAAGGACAGGAGAGAGCAGGCCTTAATAATATGCGACTCAGACATTATTTGCTTGCAAGAGACACATTGGGATGAAAGGTGTGTGGAGGATGTAAGGAAAGAATGGATGGGAGAAATGTATGTAAATAATGGGAGTGTGGGTGCTAGAGGGGTGGCAATATTAATTAAAACAGGGGTGGTAACGAATATAAGGAAAGTTGAGGATGATGGTGTTGGGAGAATGGTTGGGATAATGTTTGAATGTATGGGGGAAACATTTAATTTAATAAACGTTTATGCACCGAATGAGACAAGGAGGAGGAGGGAGTTTTTTGAAGGGTTGAAGGATAAATGTGGGGGAAAATGTATGATTGTTGGTGATTTCAATGTGTGTGTGGTGTTCGAAGCTGGATGTGTCTGTGAATATGGGTTTTAATAGTGATTCATCACGTGGTGCGCTCAAAACAATAATGGGGACAAATGGGCTGTTGGATGTGTGGAGGGAAAGGAATAGTAGGGAGAGGGTGTTTTCTAGGAATCAAGTGGTGGGAGGGATATTAAAACAGAGTAGAACAGATTTAGTGTGGAGTAATTTAGGGGAGAAAATTGGCGGAATTGAATATAGGAATACTGCCATGAGTGATCACAACATATTGAGTTTCTGCATTGGAACAGTGAGAAAAGGGAGGGGGGGGGAGTGTGGTGCTTAAATGCCTGTCTGCTGAAGGATGATGGATATAAGGTTAAAGTGAGAGAATGTATAGAAAAAAGGGGAGGTTTGAATGGTGAGGATGTGGGAGTGTGTTGGGAGGGGTTTAAAAATGAAATAAAAGGGATAAGTATAGGTTTTTGTAAAAATAGGAATAAAATAGAAAGGGAGAAAGAGAAAAGGGTTAGGGAAGAGTTAAAGGTGGAAGCTAAAAAGGTAGATATAGAAATAGGGAGAGATATAGATGAGTATAGTCGATTGAAGGATGAGTTGGGGGAGATAGAGAAGAGAAAGTGTCGAGGTGCTATAATAAGAAGTAGGGCTAGGTATGCAGTTGAGGGAGAGAAAAGTACAGGGTTTTTTTTTGGCGCTAGAGAAGGTAAAGCAGAGAAAGAATAATATAGAGAGGGTTGAAGGAAAGGGAGGAGAAATAATATCAGATTTTGTAGGGATTGCTGAGAGAGTTGAGGAATTTTATAGGGAGTTATTTGAGGCGGAGGAGATTGATAGGGAGAGCTTAGAACAGGTGATAGATAGTATGGAAGCGAGATTGAGTGATGAAGGTAGGGACATATGTGAGGGGGAGATAGGATTAGGGGAGATAGAATTTAGGGAGGGGTTGGCACCAATACTCCTTAAACTGTACAAGAGCTTGGAGGAGAGGGACGAATTGCCGGCAGGCATATCTACAGGGATAATTAGTATATTGTTTAAGAAAGGAAATAGGGAGAAGTTAGAAAACTATAGGCCACTTAGTATGTTAAACACGGATTATAAGGTGCTAGCACGGGTGTTAGCAAATAGAATTAAGAGGGTTATAAAATCAGTAGTGGGGAACACACAGGCGTATATTATTCCAGGGAGAGATATTTGTGACACTATTAGTAGTATTAGGGACACAATTAGTCACATGAAGGAGGGTAAGGGTGGGATAGTAGTTAGTTTAGATTTAAATAAAGCTTTTGATAGGGTTAGTCATGGTTTCTTGTATAGAGTGTTAGAGAAGGCAGGGTTTGGGAAAAGATTAATAGGGTGGGTAAGGAGGATTTATAGTAGTGCAGTCAGTTGTGTTAAGATTAATGGGGTGGTAACCAATGTGTTTAAGTTAGGGAGGTCTGTCCGGCAAGGGTGCCCTCTATCAGCAATGCTATATGCGCTGTCAGCCGAGCCCCTAGCGACGCTGCTGAGGCAAAACAGGTTTATCAAAGGAGTGGAGGTGCCAGGAGGGGGGGTTAGTTTAGTTTATCAGTATG